TTGAAGATAAGGACAGGGCATAAACAGGTAGTGTTGGACCACACCGTAGTCCAATACCCTCACGAGCTGTATTTGAATAATATTGTACCGTAGAAAGTGGTGTTTTGTTGTCAGAGGGCAGAAATAACGAAGTAGAAACACTTTTTATCTGTACATTACTGGAGTATTTATTTTTCTGATAACTCTTTTACTCCCTACCTTTATAAACAAATATCTGTACTTTCTACTACATTTTCAAAATGGACTTGTTACTTTAGGTTCAAGAGCATCATTTATAGCGTTTAAGAAAGTGCAGGTGACTGTAAGTTGTGTTTACACTACTTCAGCATCTAGCTAACTCTACAGAAGAGGAGGAAGCATGAAGTGAGTGATGTTTCTTTTTAACTGGCAGGTAATTTTAAATTCAGCATTTCTATCAGCTTAACAAACATCAGTAAATAGACAAACTGTTTGGGTGCATTTTGTTGCACAGTGAGTTGCTAGCTAAAGATCCAGCTGCTGTATTATATAAATAAACCAATACTGTATAAAGGGAATTAAAAAGCAGAAACATGATTTTCTGCAAACATAAAATAAACCTTGATTTCCTGTAGCTCAGTGAGTAACCTCTAAACAGGAATGCATCATTCTGTCAGCGTCCAGCTCATTATGCACAGCTCAAGATATGAGCCACTTCAAAGCTTCAGTATGCCTTCTTTAGTTTATCAGTAACCATTCTTTAATATTTAATTTTGTATGACCTCAAAGTGCGTTTTTGTACTTAGATGAGATAAGAGGTGGTTTGTGATAGATTTCAACTGCATGCAACATATGTCAAAAAACAACAATAAAAATAAAAACTAAACCCTTTGATTGTATGTACATCCCATATCACATTTTTTTTAAAGAAAACAGAAAAGGCAAAAATCTATAAATAATATCAAGTACAGTCAAAGTCAAATAAAATAAGAAATATATGCAATCTAAACTAAGGCATAAACAATTTACCTTTTCTCTGTCATCTCTTAATAGGAGGCTATTTTTTTGTGTTGCTGAAAACAGACTTTATGATGTTTTACGCATTAATTAATATTAATAATAATTCAGTGTCCAGCCTAACAAAGATCTTTTTTATATTTTAAAATATTAATGCCATTTAATTAAATTTCATACATTAAAAATATATTATATATTTCACTTTCAATCTGAAAAATGTTAAGAAAGCTTTGAAATTAATATGCCTTTAGATTCCCCCCATCTGCATATTTTAATACGACATCTTGAGGCTTACTGCAGATTTTTCGCTGTGTAAAAAACTAAGGGCAGTGGATGGAGCATCAACAAAATTTGGTTTTCTTCGCCTCAGCGTTTCTTGATGAGGTGCTTTGATGAATAACTCCATTAAAGGTTTTAGTGGTAATTACAGGAACAGCGCAGCTGTTATGGATCATGTTTTCATTCACTCTGAGCTCAGCTCACCATGTCGATAACGGCTCCACGTCTTTGCTCTTCGCGGTGTGCTGTGAGATACTGCACAGTATGGCATCGATCAGATTCCAAATAAATACATGGCCAGTATTGCCAGTAGCCTATCAATACCTTTCATGCATTTTGAAACTTTGTTTTTTGAAGACCTGGAATGTAAATGTGCCTGTCTTTAAAGTGCTTCGGTTCATCATCTGTTGTTTAATTGGGCTATGGGCTGTAAATAAAATAGACGTGACAGTTCAGATATTCCATCCATTCACTTCCGCTTATCCTTTTCAGGGTCGCGGGGGATGCTGGAGCCTATCCCAGCTGTCATAGGGCGAGAGGCAGGGTACACCCTGGACAGGTCGCCAGTCTGTCGCAGGGCCAACACACAGGGACATACAACCATT